GGCTAATCTAATTAAATCCAAATTATACTTTTGACTGTATGATTGTCTACTGCAACATTTTCTTCTTAGGCTTCCAATTTGCATTTGTCACCATTTGAACGATCGCGAGCAATCTCAACGTCAATGACAGGAGTGCCAATCCTGAGGCGGAGATCCCAGGTATGACTAGTAGCCTCAAAAGCCTCGCTTATTTCGTTTCACACGAAATTAGCAATAGTCTAGATTAATGTCTTGCACGTTCATATCAGGTGTTCGCCAGTTTGCTAGCGTAACATCAAAGCATTTCATATATAAGCTTAGTTTGGGTAATGTTTAATGGTAGAATGATATATCAATTCAGGGCCAGTCTAGTACCTCGGATTCAGTGTCTCTTGGACAACCGACGCGACAGGGTTTCTTCAGGAAGTACAGAAAGATGCGGCGGAACAAGAAGAATGCATCATGTTCGATGTCGCAGCTGAATATATAAAAAATCATTTCAGTTTGTTAATGTATGTTTGTCATTTCTTACATTTCGAGTCATAATCATACAGGTGTACATTATTGGTGCCATACATGCATGAAAACATATGCTATGAATTTTATTTGTACATCGAACAATATGGCATAATATTAAAGCACAAGAATTGCAGGAACCTGTTAACACAAACGGAAAAGATTGCGTGTGCATACGACATTTAGCAGAATCGTCCAAGAACTAATATAGATGGCAGAAAGACATAATATTATTCATGATGTGGTGATGTTTGCTATAAATGTAACGAGATTCCGTGAGATCACTTGTAAAAACCTGTAATCGGTTCAACGTAACGTTCGAACTTTCGTAGTTGGCGGCATAGCCCTCGCTTAAATTCTCTATTGAAAACTGTGTAGATGACTGGATTGATGCCGGAGTTGCCTAAAAGTGCATTTTTATGCCGTTTTTTATGTTGAGAATTTATTAAAAGGACTCACAGTAACCCAGCCAAAAAAAGAATTTGAACACAATTGCCGGAGCTGCGTAACCAAATGCTCCAATAACATACATAACCTGCAATGTTGGTTGTTGTTAAAATCCCTTAATAGAAACAACACAATAGATGAATAGCGAGCTGAATTGCTTACGAAGAATGGAAGCCAGGAAAATATGAATGCAGATAGAATGATTCCCAGTAGAAACGTGGCTTGACGCTCTTTTGCTTTCAGCTTTCGTCTACGTCTCTCAGCAATCAGCTCTTTCTCGCTTTTAGGAATTACCGACCGTTTTGGATCGAAAGCTTGCTAGAATTACAATAATAAAATAGCTGAAGCACAAACTTCTATACCACAAAATTCTTAAAGCGATTAACTACTTACCAAAAATCGCTGGGTAGCGCTAACCTTCTTATTCATTGAAGGAAGCTCTTCCGATATTTTTCTCAGATGCCAGCAAACTTGGTTAATTGCCTCCTGGAAATTCAAATTTAACTTTTGACTTCTTTTTACCTCGCATGAACATGAGTTCTAACCTTATTGCTGCTGTTATCTTTTTCGTCTGGATCGGAGCTTTCTTCGAGCAGTTCAAGCTCTACTATTTGTTTAGCTGAAAAGAGGAATTATTTTGCACAAATCTCTTTAGATCATCAGTTCCTAGCACAGTCCCCCTCATTTCAAACATGTAG